TTGTCAAGGCCATTGAGGATGTAGTTTCTGCACAGGAAATCTGAATGTTTTCAAGCATCTACAGCGACAACAACTTGCCGATCACTTTCACCCTCTTGAAGTGATGGAGCCTCTTCACGGAGAAACCAGGCCAAATTTAGAGCTGTACGATAAAACAGCATCTTATGTTGCTATCTTTTAAACTCAGTACGGTTAAATTTTTCTCATTTCTCTCTATGATTTATTGGTACTGGAACATGCTTCTGGATAGGGACCAGTGTTGGTGTAACAATTGGAGTGCCACTTCCAGTTGCAGTGGCCATAATATTTTATTACAAAAATCAGAAAAAACCAAAATACAAATTAATTTTCTAGTTACTAAAATCAGAAAATAAATTATAACACAAAATAATATTATTTTCCTTGTTACTAAAACTAGAAAAATAAAATACCACAATAATTTTCTGTAACACCAAATAATATTCTGCAATTGTTAATGACACCAGTATATTACTACTAGTTGTCAAAGAAAATAGACAGTATATTACTACTATCTGTCAAATAGTTTATAATTACTATTTGTATTTTCCAACTAGAATATCACTCTATGAAAACACAGAAAGTTAAATACAATGAAGACACAAAATTAATCTATCTTTAGATTGTTGGACAATCTTCACTGTATTTGGAAAAATAAATTTTGTTGTGTACTTAACAATAAACAGAATACATAAGAAATAAAGAAAATGAGAGAATTTGTTTGATTACAAAAATCAAACTAGTAAAATAAAATAAAATAAATAAAATAATTTTTTATTTTGTTACAAAAAACAAAATCAAAATCAAAATCAAAATCTGATTTAAATAAATAAAAAAACCAGAAAATAAATAAAATACTTACTTGATTAATTTCTTGAATAATATTCTAATCAAGTCCAGTGTTCGACACTGTGTCCTTAAGACAGATTCGTCCTCTCCACGATGCTTTCAGAATATGGACATCTTTCTCCCAAGATAAAATGATCTATCAACGAATAAATGCAGCGCTACAATTTATTCGAACAACGAACACACTAAATGTTTACACTATTTCTTACAAAAATTAAATGCAGCAAAATGCAGAATATATTAGCAGAAGGGAAGTACGAATTTTCTAAATGAAAACAACAAATGAGGGTTGCCTATTTATATATGCAGTGGTGGCTATTGGTTTTGAATTAAATAGGTGCTAACCTGTTTTGAACATGTATGAAACCTGTTCGGTTTTGAATGAACAGATTTAAATCTATTGGGTTCAAAATTTAAACAGATAAAAATCGTAGAGACCTATTTGGGTGTAGAGAAAAATCGAAACAGATTAATTCCGGAATTAATTTGAATTCTAGACAGTTGGTGTAGACGTTCCCGAATGCCCCGGGAGGACGAGTCTCGTTCTGTTCGTTTTGGGCTCGCTACAGTTCAGGACTCTCAAATTGTCACGGTTCTTAATCTGAACCAAAGAGTCCAAATCCGGAAAATCGTTTTGAGAAAACAGATTTTTAGAAAAGAAGTGCCAAACATGGACTGCTTTGCCAGATACAGAGTCGCCGCTTAAATATTTTATTTTGGGAAATTTAGGAAACCCTGACTCGGTGCCAAAGGCCATGTGTCCGTCATCACCAAAGTTGCCTCGGCTCGGGAGCTTGGGTACGATTGGGGAAGGTCAGCTATGAGCACCCCCTCTCGCCTGATCCGAAGATCGGCCTCTACTAACCGTGATTTCCGTTTATGTGTTCTTATTCTGGTTATTAGCCTAGAATTACTATGTTATGCGCACAGCAAACAAGTATAGACTAAATCGCCTAAATTGGAACAAAACATTGCATGTTTGTTTTGAAAATGGTTTACTACTCGCAAGTAGGCTAAAATGCAAGTTTTGCCACCCTCAAGTGAGCTTTAGAAAAGATGGTTTTGCCACTATCTAGTGGGCTTAAAACTCACAATTTTAATACATTATTCCAATTTAGGTAATTCAACCTCCACCCACAGGCATTTAAGCAGTTATATCACATAAGCAAGTAGCCTCATGGTAAGCATGCTGTCATGGCAACACTCACACGCATGCGGTATGCTAAAGCATAAATGTTTACCGAGTACTCCAAACTAGAACAGAAGCTAGTTAGTAATTATGTGCATGATCCTAGTTCATGTCGAGATGGCTAATGCGACACATACAAGATGCAACTACAATAGGCTCGGCTATCCTAATGATGGCATGTGAAATGCTGCAACTAACAGGTATTCAACTTGGAATTGAAATACAAGTGCAGTTAGTATGACGTACCGAGCCCGGTGCATGTAGGACAAATGTATGGATGCACGCATGCATAGCATAAGGTATGCTAATTTAAATATGCCCTAATACTAACCATCAAAAGCAGGTAAGTAAAAGGGAGAAAGAAGTGGGGATTGGAAGACATGCACACACGCACCCACACTTATTACAAGTTAGCCCTCACTCGGAGGGACCGAAAGAATAATACAAATTAACTAACTAACAAGCTAATTAAATATTACAGTCCACCTAATTAATTAAGCAAATTAATTAATCTAATTTAAGTAATAAACGACGTCGGGAAGAGGGTCTAATGCGATGCGTGCTCGATTCCGCTCGGATGTCACTGCCATAACTAGGAAACAAAGACAAGGTACCCAGGGTTAGGGATTTTCTTCGGGCACCAGTTACCAGAAGAAGAAGATGAGCAGACAGACCTGAGTCCTAACATAAATCAAGGCAGGACAACAAGCCTAGATTTTGAAGAAGAAGAGCTGTTGGGAAAAGTGCTGGCTGATCTACTGGCAAGTTCTACTGCTGAAGCTGAGTCTGACAACTTGGGGGATAGTTTTACTATCTAAATGATCGAGGATAAACTAGTATTGAATTTCTCCAATCTTATTGTGGATGCATCTGAGGCTCCACGCCTAGTCTGGAACTTTGAGAAAGGCGTCATCAGTAGTTCTGAATCGGATAGTGAGTCCGAATCTAATTCCACTGAGTTTGTGGAATCAGAGTCAGATTCTAGTTCATCTAAGTCTAGTACTTTTGGGAGTGGTAACCCGGATACCAAGGTCCTGTCCAGGTCGTCTTTCAGCTTTTCTTTTGAGTCCACTGTAACTGAGGATTCAGACCTTTTGAATGAGAATGTTGTGGACTTTGCCTGCTTTTCTGTGCCTTTGGTTTGTTGTACTGATCTTGATTTTCAAAATTTTGACTTAAATGAAGAGGAAGAAATTCAAAGAGGTTCCAAATATTAAAGTGAACTCATTATCATCATCAATTTTTTTTGGTTTCTTAAATCATTTAAGCCTTCAATTTATGATCAGACTCAAAATTTCGTCATTAAATTACATATTCAAATTAGGCACCACATAAATGAATTTAATTC